GAACTCTCGTTTGTGTGTTCAAACGTTAGTTCGTTAGCCACTATATCCTGGGAAACGGTCGTTGCAACGCTCCTACCACCGTGGTAGGCGACGAATACGTTTTAAGGACATCGTGCGTAGCACGAGCTCTGGCTAAACTATGTTCCATCTTATTTCTGTTTTCTTTAGCTATTTAAATTAATTAATTATTTTTATTAATTAATATTTCTTCGTTTTTTCGAGACACGCCCAACACAAACAACTTCCCACTTTTCTATTCGGAAAGTCACGAAATTAACTTCACATTTCTTCTTATTTCCTTATTTGGCAAATTATCTACACCAAAATTGTGCAAAACAGTGCCAAACCGTACCAAACAGTGTCCAAACAGTGCCAAACAGTGCACTCCACAGTAAAGTCAAATTTATTTTCTTAATCTGTGTGAAGTCAAACTGTGAAGCTCTTTGAGAACCGGAGGGAGTATTAATTTTTCCATAAAAAAAATTGTCTAACGCTTATACAAACGTGTATACAGTAAAAAGGTGTGTCAAAGGAATTTTCGAAAATATTAATATGGAATTTTATAATTTTGTTGGTCATATCATGGATAATAAAAAGAGTTATATAAGAGCATTTTAGTGAATTTTTAATCAAACATGATTTTTTTAATTTTGTGCGCTGAATTTTTAATAATCAAAATAAGCGGGAAACTACCCTAAATAGGACTAAGAACATTTGTATATTACAAAACAGTACTATCGTGTTATTATTCTTAAAATAGAACTAATTACTGTCATATTTTGGCAGTACTATGCTTCAACATGACAATATTTTCTAAACTTGACAATAATTACTTCTATTTTGGGAATAAAAATATGGCAGTTCTATTTTGAAATTTTCAAACTTTTTTCCTCCTATTTCGGAATATTTCAAAATAAGTAAGGCTTTAGTTACCTTTTTGGATGAATTGTTTGAAGTCGCAGTAGAGAAACGATGGTAGCCATTTTTTCATATAAACTTTTCTTTATTTTATTAGGTAAAAATAACTTTAAATAATACTAGCTATCACTCATAAAGTCATCATAAATCAATCACAATACATAGTTTGAAAATGATTTTTAGTAATATCAACGATTTGAATATAAAACAAAAATAAAATAGAGTCACTTTTCGATAAGAAATCTAATCATTTAAGACATTAAAAACTAATAGCAAACTGTCAAATACATGATTCTCAAAAATACAATCACTTATTTGATATTTTGATTCTAGTTTTTATGACTTAGATAACTGATTTTTCATCGAAAATCGCTATGTATCAGTTTTGGTCTATACATAGGTAGTTTGTATTATTAAAAGTTATTTCCAAAGTACTTATTATTATTGGTTTATGGAAGATGATTTGTATTAATTAAAGTTATTGTCCCTTTTATTAATAGTAATTACACTAAATAGGACTAAATAGAAACATAATTACATAAGTAGGACTAAAACCTAAATATTTCACAAATAGGACTAAACATTAATTTTCTACCCTTAATCTAATTAATTAATTGTCCACCTCGTTCTGTTGGGCAACCAGGGCACTCCGTTGTTGCGGGTCAATCCGGTGAGGGCCGATGGCAGAGCTCCGACGAGTCTCCCGACGTGAATCTGGTAGAAAACCCAATCTGGAAATTTTGGTCGGATTCCGACGGCTGATGTGGCGGCAGTTGGGCGATGGCCGAAGGTCGGCGGTGGTGGTTGGGCTGGGCAGGACACACATGATTAGTCCTATTCAGTGTTCTAAAAGAGCTAGGCGCTAATCGGGCAGTGACTGGCCGCCTAGCGCCTGGCCCGCCTAGGCGAGCGCCGAGTGCGTATACTGTGCAACCGGTATACGGTGAGCACCGTATACCGGGACAGATTTATATTTTTTTTTTCCTTCTACTTTTAAAAAATGGTAATAATTTTTTTTATTTTTGATCCGATTTTTATAAAATTTATATCAACATTTTTTATTTTTCATGATCTTTCAAATGAGACCAATATTGCCTATGTAATTTTAACATATTAACATTTGTGTGTGAAATATGTAACTTTAAGTGTTAAAATATGTAACTCCCGTTCAGTCAAGTCAAATGCAACTCGTGTGTATAAATATGTATCTCTACATGTAACAATATGTAACTTTACGTAAAAAAATATGTAACTCGCATTCAGACAGGTCACATGCAACTCGTGTGTATAAATATGTAACTCGCGTGTATAAATATGTAACTTTACGTGTAAAAATATGTAACTTTACGTGTAAATATATGTAAGTCGCGTTAAGACATGTCAAATGCAACTCGTGTGTATATATATATGTAACTCGCTTATAAAAAGATGTAACTTGCTTATAAAAAGATGTAACTCGCTTATAAAAAGATGTAACTTGCTTATAAAAAGATGTAACTCACTCATAAAAAGATGTAACTCAATGTATTATCAAATGTAACTGAGGCCACTGATCCACTCCCAAACAAATTCGATCTTCTATTTCACAAACCTATCATCTCCCAAACAGATTCGATTTTTCTTATAATCCAATGCTCATTAATATAATAGTTCGATAATTTCTTAAAATCACATACACAATATTGGTCTCATTTGAAAGATCATGAAAAATAAAAAATGTTGATATAAATTTTATAAAAATTGGATCAAAAATAAAAAAGTTATTATCATTTTTAACATCAAAAGCAAAAAAAAAAAAAAAAACAAATGCTGCATCGTTTTTGCAACCGGGCGTACCATCCTCATGGTGCGCCGGTTGCACCATATAATTTGCCGCGAGCGCCTAGGCGGGCGCCTAGGCGTTGACTAAGAATTCTCCCTTGATTTCTTTGTGTTATTTTTAGTTCCAATGAATTTTAAATATATTATCAATAATTTTTTATATTTTTACAATAGGAATAACTCGTATAATCAATAGATATTATGTTTTTGTATAAAAGTTGTCAGTAATAAAATAATTAATATATACATGAAGAGAATTGTGTTTTTTAGTCTGTAAAAATGTGTATATACATTCTAAAAAATTATATACATTTCAATTTTTTTTTTTTTGAAATAATATGAAACTAAATTATACAGGAAAAAAATAATCTGGGCCACTTAGCCACCGCCTAGCGGAATAGTCGATCGTCTACTCCATCTAGGAGTCCTACTGATTTTTTCCACTGATTAAACTGAAATCGGGGCACCCGACCACTGCCTAGCAACTAGGCGGCGCCTAGACGGGCACCTAGGCCGATTTTAAGAACCATGGTCTTATTTAGGGGATTTGAAATAATGTAGTTCTATTTGTGATTTCTGGCCATATTTTACTTCTATTTAGATATTTCAATCTTTTATTGATATACTATGTATTACCGAGTATATTTTTAATATTATTTTTTCAGAATTCCGCATATTCAACTAATTCAGTTTTTCAGAAATTGTTAAATGTTACAGTTACCCGATTCAGTTATAGTTATTTGACTTGGTCAATTCAGTTAAAACATGGACAATTACAAATTCACTAGGCATAAATTACTCCTATGCATAATAATTTCTATTTTCTAATATGTAGTGTAGCATTCAAGGGACTCACTTTAAAGTTAAAAATTCATTTTCACGTGTAATTTGGCATTAGGGATTAGGATTTGGCATTAGGGTCTAAACGGGCTCCTAGTTTAACTTTAAGTTGTTCCATGTTAATATGGTAGAATTTAACTTTGCTGATTTAAATTTCATTTAAAAGTTATAGTATTATGAATTAAAGGGGGGTTGACGCAACTCCAACTATGAATGTGATAGTATTATTGTGAATTAAATTACAACTGTCCATTAACAATGTGGCTAAGTAACAACTATTATGAATTAAGAACTTTACAATAATCGTGGATTTAATGCACCAAACCCTATGTGATACGGAAATTCGGCGCATTAACCCCTGTGATTTAAAAAATGTGTCAAACTCCTTTGTGTTTTAATTAATTATGCGCAAAATCTGTTTTATGAACAAATTCAATTGTCAAATAAAAGAAAAATGATTAACATTTTTGTATGATTTAGATGTTTTGACATATTTACTTGCATATTCGATCAGAATATTAAGGAAAATGATTTCCAAAGCGTTAAATTTATTCATAAAAGGGGTTCTGTGCATTATTAATTAAAACACAAAGGGGTTTGACGCATTTTTCAAATCACATTGGGCTAATGTACCAAATTTCTATATCACGAGGGGGTTTAGTGCATTAAACCCCAATAATTGTGGATGCTCTAATTGAAATAGAATCCCCCTTATTTTCTCCATTTCCCCCTATGGTGCAATTTTAACATATAACTCACTTATATTACAACATCCAAAGCCTTATTCTCTTTCGGGTCAACTAACATGAATCAACATTCGATATTGGCGTTAAGACCATTTTTATATAAAAGAGGGGGGTTCTTCCTAAACTTTATTCCCTCTCAGTCATACTTTCATATAGCATTTGTTTTTTACCACTTCAATCTTGACTTGAAATCTACTATATATCAGTTCGATCTTCATAACAAAGTGAACGTAAAATACGAAATAGGATTGATCTCATGATTTTAAGTTTTTCTCCTACATGCCTTATCTCTAACCAGGTGCCCTTGTCTTGACCATTAGTGATCGTGACATGTAAATTATGAAAAGTGACATGTAAATTCCTTTTCTAAAACATTTTCGAGCAAATATCTTGAGAACTGTTGTTATAATAGAGTTATTGAATATTGGATGATTGGATTAGGGCTAATAAACTTATCTACAAAGAACTTGGAACAACTAGTTGAAAAAATCATGCCATCCATGAGTTAGTTCAACTCTAAGTTTCTTACTCATATACATCTGTACAGTATTCTATTACGACATTAGAAGATTAATTGACATGCACAACATGGATGAGAAGTAGAGAACTGACTAATTAATAGTTATCAATGTATATGCTAGCATAAATTTATTGAAATCTTTTGTGTGTGTTAAGGTGATGAGACAGTGAAAGTGTTCCATGTTGTGAAGTTGTATACTTTTGAACTAGCTTGTCGCTTCTTTATGAGTGTTGAAGACCCAAACCAAATAAACAAGCTTTCGGTCCTATTCACCATTTTCCTCAAGGGAGTCATATCACTGCCCCTGAATGTCCCAGGGTCGAGATTTTATCGCGCAACAAGAGCCACTACTCTAATTAGGGAAGAACTTCTTACGATTGTGAAAAAGAGAAGAGAAACGATGAGGCAGAATGGAACTTCAATTGCCAATGATCTTCTCTCACATTTGCTTCTCACACCGGACGATGATGGGAACTTTATGTCTGAGTTGCATATAGTGAACAATATAATCATGCTTTTGTTTGCTGGCCATGACACTTCCAGTGTGACTATCACATTGCTCGTAAAGAAGCTCGGGGAGTTGCCTCATGTTTACGAGAAGATCCTTCAAGGTATGAGCACACACAATTTGCATTGACCTACCAGGACCTTAGCTTAGGTCTTAATATAATACCAAAACTAATTACTCCGTATGTTTTAATGAGAATCTCTATCTGATTAAGAATTACAAAGACCCTGCAGATTACAAAACTAGTTTACTTTATGTCTCTAATGAGAGGTCATATTAGAAGGAGATGTTAAGTCATAAGACCTTGATCAGCCAACTTTATTAGGCAATGACGGATTTTAAAGAGTACAATAGCTCTTGACAATGTTTTGTTCTTCTTGCCGCAACCTTCATAATGACAATTAATAAAAAGTGAATGTGTTTGTTTTAAATGTGATTTTTGAGTAACCAGAGCAAAGAGAGATTGCATCATCAAAAGAAGTTGGAGAGTTTCTTAATTGGAATGACATACAAAAGATGAAGTATTCATGGAATGTTGTTTCTGAAGTCATGAGGCTATATCCTCCTGTCTTTGGAGCTTTCAGAGAGGCACTTGAGGACATCACTTATGAAGGTTATGACATTCCCAAAGGTTGGAAGGTAACAATACTCAATATATTTATATGGCGCATTATATTTTGGATTTAACGGAGCAAAAATTGCCAATTTTTTTTTGTAAATAAAATGAGCTTTATTGTCATTATAAACAATGTTTTTTCAAAACACAAATGAGCTCCGTGGTAAACAAAAAATGCACCCTTTTGTGACTTCTTATTTACCACGAAGAGCATCATTTTCTCTAAAACTGCAATGTGCGCGCGCACATGCACACCATTTTAGTTTAAAAGTAACTATCAATAGTTCGAGCATTTAAATTGTGTCATTTCGATTATAACCTAATAGTCTTATTATCACCATCTGTTATGTGCTTTGAGTGCTTATACTATATGTAATGGGGCAAAATATATTTGAAGAGAATATCAGTTTTTCTCGTTAGATAGATATGTATAAATGACAAAAACAAAAATCAGGAATGATTATTCCTGAATTGTGCCTGTCATGTTTCTACGCAAAGTAACCGCCCTATTACCAACTGAATATTATTTTTTCCAAATCATAATATAATGTATCATTTACTTAATGTTAAAATCTAGAGTTCCATCATAAAATGTCAACCTGATAAGAGAAGTAGCCCAAAGTCTTATATGATGTATTATTGTTTTATAATATTCCGGTATGGGACAAATACTTTAACATGCTCCCTCAACCCGAATTGGGTTGGACAATTTCGGGATGTATAAATTGGTCAAACAGAGCCTTAACAAGCTACCCTTAATCATGGGTGCCAAAAACGTAGTCAAACCACAACTGGGCCTGACTTTGATACCATATGCGTCGTAACCAATTTCAAGGAGTCAAAATGATGACACAACTAAAAAATGACAATGATGAACCAATGAAAAAATGAATAATGGCACGATCCAGACGAAGTGTCTGGTCGTGAGGAGGGTGTTGTTGTCCCACACCAGATATCTCTCAAACAATTAAACACTATATTAAGATCTTGGCTTTTCCTCTGATCAGGTCGACTTTTTAGGATGGAACCTCGTGTCTTCACACTTAATTATATTATAAAATTACACTACCATTATTGTCATCAAAATACATATGCATTTAAGTACCATTAAAAAATATTTGTTAACTTCCAAATAATACGAGAAAATGATTATTTAATTTTCAAAGGCTTCTGTACTAGTTTTGATCTCTCTATATACACACATATGATATTAAACAAATAGATAATACGAATTGAGTATTTCATGATATGGAAAAGGGTCAAATAAGGCCATCTACTATTACAGAATCATCACATAAAGTCATGTACCCAATAAAGTGTCATATAAATACATTTACTTATAAAAAGCAACCGGGCGAGTCAAAACGACCCATTGGCAATCTCGTAATTCCGATTTTAGCCTACGTGTGGCTATCTTTTTGAAATAGATTATAAGGCCGACGTGAAATATTTGGTCACGGTTGGCTTAAATACAAGGCAAAAATAACGAGACGTAAGCTAAAATCCAGATTAGGAGGTTGTCAACGGGGCGTTTTGACTCATCTGATTGCTTTTTACAAGTAGACGTATTGAGTACATGACCTTATGTGACGATTCTGTAATAGTACAAAGCCTTATTTGACCCTTTTCTCTTCATGATACTACCATACATGATATTAAGCATTGGGATTCCGTTCTAAAATATTAATCGAATAGGAGAAGTAACACAATGTCTTATATGTTTATACATAGCCATTGTGGATTTTCTAACACGTGCAATGTTATTGACAAGAAACAATGCAGTATGGGGCAACATGCGACTATATCTAGATTAATGACTACCTGTTATTCGTGAAAATATTGTAGATATTCATCACTTTGTGTGTTTTACCCGGTTAATGATTTAACCAGAGCGATGCACTACAAGCATCCAACGAATTGAATATGAATATTATCTTTACGAATACACATGGAAATAACAATATTTATTCACCCTTAAGTAATCGTCTTTTTTTTCAAATAGTTATGATTATCTCAATATTGTTTGTGTCATATAAACATAACTTTCATTTGTAGTGGCGAAAGGAGTAGTAACAATAACAACAATAATATACTCATCATTTGAATGCAGCTAAGTCTATGATTTGTGGATTTTGACAGTTTTACTGGAACGCTCCGATTACACATCTCAATAAGATTTTTTTCCAAGACCCGACTAACTTTAATCCATTGAGATTTGAAGGAGATGGACCTCCACCTTACACATACGTCCCCTTTGGAGGAGGACCACGAATGTGCCTTGGTAAAGAGTTTGCTCGGTTGGAGATACTTGTTTTTTTACACAATCTGATTAGGAGATTTAGGTGGAGCTTACTTGTGCCCCAAGAGAAAGTGCAATATGATCCCATGCCCATTCCTGTGGAAGGTCTTCCTATTTGTCTTCATCAGCATAAATTGTGAAAGATTACACTCTTCTTAATTGGCACGAGAAAGAGATGTGAGATAATACGTTGTTTTTCTCTTTACTTTTATAGAACTTTTTTTGAACTTCTTTTGTAGAACTTTATAATTTAATAAACATTATTATCCTTGACTAAATTTTATTTTATTTTTGATGTGTTAGTTTTATTTGTACATATTGTATTAAATGTAATAAACATTGAAAAAATAATGTCTAAAGTTTTACATTCTTTGCTCTTTCAAAAAACAAGTTTTACATTCTTTGCATCAGTAAGAAGTTGTTCTCTTCATCTGACCTGATTGTTTCTAATTTGATTTTTTTAAGATCTGATCTGATCTGATCTGAATTTTTCTGATCTGATATGTTCTGATCTGAATCTTTCTGGTCTGATCTGATCTGATATGATTTGAATCTTTCTGATCTGATACAGTTTGATCTGAATCTTTCTGATTTGAATCTGTCTGATCTGATCTAAATGTTTCTGATCTGATCTGAACTTTCTAAACTGGTATATAATAATAATATCAATAATAATTATAATAACGAATTAATAATAATAATAACTATTATTATTATATTTATAATTATTTAAGAAGTATAATATAATAATAATAAATGTAATAATGATAATGATAACGATAATGATAATGATAATGATAATAATAATAATAATGATAATGATGATAATAATAATAATCATAATGATAATGATAATGATGATGATGATAATAATAATATGATAATAATAATAATAATTTCAATTATTATTGGTATTATTATTATAATAACAATAATAATAATTCTGATATGAATGTTTCTGATCTGATCTGAATGCTTCTGATCTGATTTGAATCTTTCTGATTTGATCTGAATCTTTCTGATCTGAACTGAATCTTTCTGATTTGATCTGATCTGAATCTTTCTCATCAGATCTGATCTGAATTTTTCTGATCTGATCTGAATAAAATAAGAATAAGTAATACGTAGTAAGTAATAAGAATAAGACGAACAAAACATCTTCTAAGATTCATAAAATTGAATGAAATGAATATGTCAAATTATAAACATAATGTAATTCTTCCCTGCATGATCGAAGGTCTGTTTCATTTTTATGAGGGTTTGTTCGAATTAAAGTTTATAGGGGGTGATTTGTCAATGGGTCTCTAGTCTCCTCCCGCTCCAGCGAAAAAGTGCTCTGGTCAAGGGGGGTGCCAATATGGTTTGGAAGAGGCGGAACAATGTGGTTTGGAAGGACCGTAAAGAAGAGGGGACAAGAGTTCTCCATGTTGCGGCGAGCGTGTTGGCGAGCTGGAGAGAGTCACGGAACAACAGGGCGAGATCAATGGCGACGAGCAGTAACATTGTGACCTTATGGCAACGGCCTAAGCCGGAGTACATTAAACTAAACGTTGATGTTGCTGTTAATCAGTCCGGGGAGATTAAAGCATGAGAGTGGATTGTACGAGATGATAAATGGGAATTTATTAAGGCTTAAGGAGTCTAAAAAAGGCATTATGGTCTGTTGAGGAGACAAAGACTTTGAGTGTTTGGGGTTGCTATTTTATATGCAGTTGAGGCAGGTTGACAAAGGGTGAAGATCGAGACGGATGCTCTTCCAGTGGTGTAGGGTCTCAAGAAAGGGGAAGGATAGTCATATTTAAATCTACTCCTTGATGAATTACGGAAGATTATGGAAACAAAGAGTAATTGTGATGTATCTTTTTTGTGTATGGTCCGAGAATCATATGGCTTTTGTTTTAGCCCCAACACATGTTTTTATCTCATATCACCGGGTTAGCTTTGATGTTATTTCAGATTGTATTGTCAACCAAGTGGCAAACGATTTATTGATTTAATATAGTTTTCGTTTACGTTAATTTTTTATTGGTGTTAGCCAAAAAGTGTGACTTTTGAGCTACGTTTAGTCACTCATTGGTACAATTATTGGGTAATGATTCTTTTTTGTTGTGGCAATCCTTTTTATTTGATGGAGTGCATATAGATCAAAAGAAGTAAGCCTACCAATTATCCTTATTGTTTTGGACTTTTGATGTAGACTGAATTACCAGAATAGGGGAGTGTTTGGAAATGCTTTAACTTAAAAAAGCAAGCACTTTTTGAAGTGATTTTGAAAAAAATGATTAATAGTAAAAGTTGATTGTGTTTGAGAAAAAAGTGATTTTAAAAAGTAAAAGTTGATAGTGTTTGATAAAATAAGTGCTTTTTGTGTAATAAAGAAAGTAAAAAGCAGTTTTCACCCAAAAGCTGAAAAACACTTTTTAAAGTAAAAATTGTCACTCGAAAAACATTAATTTTAATTTTTTAAAGCCAAAGCACGTTTTTTAAACTATTGCAAACACTCCCTAGGTTTGTTGTGAGTTTGTCCATGAAGTTACCCGAAAGTCCACTCACTTGAGAACTAAGATATCCAAATTTGCGGTTTTCTTAATCGGGTTACCCAATAACTAAGGACCCATACACCGTATCGGTATGGATGCTTGAAAGCCTTGAATGCCAGAAACCCCACGAGCCATGAATAAATTCATACTCACCTACCTTTTCGAGAAATTGCGGGGATTGAATCTTTGAATATGGCAAAATATAGGGGCCGAACCGAAAGATTCGCTGGGCTTTCCAAATCCAGCTCTCCAAATCTCAAAATCAAAACCCTCTCAAATTTTTCTCTCCCTCTAAAAACCCAAACCCTCGCTTTGCGGTTTCTCTTTCCTCGACTGCTTCTGGCGGCTGGCTCATCACCTGTGATACCCCAACCAGTCCTCAGCTTTCTCTCTCTAGGGTTTGGCGGTCGATCTATCTACGTATCGGGATATGGCTCCAGTTGCTGCCCCTGCTGATCGTATCCTTGACCTTTCACGTCCATGGCGTTCTGTTATAATTTCGTTCTGTGCTGTTTCTTTTAATTTCGACTTCTTCTTTCTGCTTTGTTTGAAATATGAAATTCTTGATTACATGTTCTGCTTGTTTGGCATGGATATACTTTGTCCTGCGAGTTTTGACCTGTACACGGATGTATTTTTATCCTTTTCTGTACTCTTTTTTCCTGCTATATCTATCTTGTAAAACTTATGTTTTACTCAATAAGCGTTCTTTTTTGGTTGGGTGTGAAGGGTTAAGAGTTAACTAGGTCAACGTGATTTATTTGGGTCTTTTCTAGTTTTGGGTCTGTCCTTTGAAACAAGACAATGGAGTCCTTCACAATTATCACCACAGAAACTGCGGATTTGCTGCAGAAGCTGTCATTGGAGTCAAAGACCAAGGCTTTGGAAATTGCTGAGCCAACTAAGAAGGTGACGTTCTTCTGATATGCCTTGGATCGATATTTATTTGTGAATCTTATAATTGTTACTTGTTAAACTTGATCCCTAAATTAATTTTATCTCAATATCCAGGCTTCGGGTGACTCGGCAGGTATAGCTAATGGTCAGAATCAGTCTAGTGGAAGGTCTTACTCACCCTTGTTACCGGATATGATTGATCCCTCAATGTGCTATTTTCCAAGTGGCTATCCATTCACTGCATACTATGGGGGTAAGTTAACAATTCAGAAGGAGCCTAAGCTTTAGATTTCCAGTTTTCATTCAAAACCAGTAATGCGCCTACGATTTGCCATATTTAATTCATTGCTTGATTGAATTTTTCTTCCTTTTAGCATATGATGGGACTGGGAGCGAGTGGGATAACTATGCAAGATACCTTAATCAAGATGGAGTTGAGATGCCCGTAAGTATTGTATTACTTAGTTAAAACCATAGGACCCCTTCAGTAAGTACTATTTGGCTAAACTGTAATCGTTGAATATGCTCAATTTTCTGAAAAGAAAATCGTTTGGTACTTCATGCCAGTCAAATGAGCCAAAAGTTGCATTTCAGCAGAATAAGCCTTTCAAGGCTACCTAGTAGGGACTGCGTTTATTGCTGAAATGCAAAATTGTGTGTTACATGTTATGGCCTATTGATTGTTTTTATTAATTGCAGGCTGTATATGGAGACAATGGGACAGTTATGTATCACAATGGGTATGGCTACACTCCATACCCTCCATATTCGCTTGCCACATCACCTGTGCCCACAGTTGGTCAAGATAATCTGCTATATGGTGCTCAACAGTACCAGTATCCTACTCCATATTTCCAGGCTCAGACTAGTGGTCTGTACCCTCCCCGAACCAAAGGTGAGACGGTAAATTCTGGAGCGCCTGGTCAAGCAGCGCCTTTGCCCGTTGATTCCAGTAAAGGAACTGCCAAGGGGAATGACATTGCAAATGGTGGTGTTGTAAAGGGCTCGAATGGTTCAGTTCCTGCAAAGCCAAAGCCTTTATACCAGAATTCATCTCTCAATGCTAATGGAAGAGGTGCCTTGCCTGGAGGTTATACATCTTCTGTATATCATGATCCAAGATTTGCCTATGATGGATTGCGCTCCACCATCCCGTGGTTTGACACATCATCATTTTCTGATGGGCAGGCTAATATGCCAGTATCTACCACTTCGTCCAACAGTGTCTATCCTCAGTCAAGGAATCCCAACTTTCGTCCTCATCTCATGGTAAGATCTCAGATATGCATCCAATGGACCTTTTTTATAATGACTTGGTATTATAAAAAGATGTGCCAAAGTTGCCCAATAGTTTTTGAATTGGTATCTAGTCGTAATTGGTTTATTTTGTGGGCGTTGTCTTTGTTTGCAGGGATTGCAGCATCCGAGACCCATATCAGGGATGAATGCGACCAATGGATACATTAATAGAATGTATCCAAACAAGATGTACAGCCAGTATGGTAACACCTATAGATCTAGTGTAGGTTATGGATCAAATGGTTATGATTCTCGCACAAGCAGTCGCAGTTGGCTGGCTTCCGATAACAAGTTTAAGCCTAGAGGAGGTAGAGCTGCAGTAGGGGGTTACTATGGGTATAGCAACGATAATATGGATGGTTTGACTGAGCTGAACAGGGGACCAAGGGGCAAAGGCTCCAAAACTCAGGAGGGGTTCACACCAGTTGCTCTAGCAGTGAAAGGTCAAACCATCCCGTTGACTGCAGAAAATGACGATGACAAAGAGAAATCATGCCTGGTTCCAGATATGGATCAATACAATTGTTCAGATTTTTCAGTGACTTATGATGATGCCAAGTTTTTCATTATCAAGTCCTACAGTGAAGATGATGTCCACAAGTCTGTCAAGTACAATGTCTGGTCAAGTACTCCTAATGGAAACAAGAAGCTCAA